ATGCCTTCACCTCTCTAATTAGATGTTTACAAATCCAAGGACCGGTAATAGATGATGTAACAATGGTATCACAACTGACAGTCTCCTTCTACGATTAAATTGGAATAATTTAAAGAGAATGCCAGTCCAAGACCATGCAGAAGGGCAAGCATTTGCCCTCAGTGAGTTTCCTTCTCCAATAAGCCTTCAGAAACTTAACAGTATAGCTCCCAGTGAAACTGGATAGATGTAGCTGATCCCAAATAGTCAGAATAAGGCTTTGTTGGGTTAAATAGAATTTATATGCATTATGTAGGAACAAAACTAAACAATAAATATATGGAAATATGTTACGGTCAGTATGCTAATCACAATATAGGAATGCAGAGAAGATAGGATATGGAAGATGATAATGAGGATGATGTTTAAGTATAAAAACTATGGCATACCAAAAAAAACAATGCACCTAAGCAAGGTGCCAACCAGCTGGTTGGTAAGGTCTCCTGCTGGTTGTAGCGGAGACTTGGGATTGAATCTTTCCTGCACCTGGGTTGGGGGGGTATGGGTTGGGGGATGGGCTACCCCCTGTTGTGTAGCCCTTCAAAAGAAATAAAAAAAAAAAAACAATGCACCTAACCTGTACCTTAACAGATTTTTTTTTTTTCAATACACTTCTTTTTAACTTCCAACAGTTCTAAAATTGAGAATGACAGGAGGGAGAACTTTTTTTCTGATAAATAGAAAGGAGAACATAAGCCAAGGTTTTCGAAACACTGTTGACCCAGACAGTTGAACCATTCAAACTGGAAACTGGTCACAGTACCTCTTCCAGCTTTACCCTGAACTGTTATTTAAGCAAAAACTGTTGAAATGGTCAGAGAACCACTGACCCGGACGGTTGATCCACTAAACCATTCAACTTGGGAAACGGTTTGTGGTTTAATAAAAAAAAAAACACTTTTAATTTTTTAATGAAGCATTAACAGAGAAAATAAAGAGGAGAGAGAGATGGGGAAAGACTAAGACGAGATCTCAGATCTGAGATCACTAAGATCTGAGAGAGAGAGAGAGAGACTGAAAGAGAAATGAGATCTCAAATCTGAGATCTAAGTGAGATAGAAAACTAAGAAAAAAGAGAGATCTCAAATCCAGGATCAGAGAGAGAGAGAGAGAAAGAGAGAGAGATCTGAAAGGGACCGGAGGAGAAATGTTGCCACTGCCATTTCCATCGCCTTCTTCCTTTCTTTCTTTCTTTCTTTCTAAGCTGATCACCACCTACTTCTCTCTCCTCTCTTCTCTCATAACAGATTAATAATATATATATGACCTCTTTACCCTAATATTCTAATCTAAAGGTTAAAATTTGTCCAACCACTTGAACCATTCAACCCAGACTGTCAACCCGCTAACCCAGAAACTGGTGGTCAAAGTGGTTCAGTTTCCAGGTCAGTTTTTAAAACCTTGCTATATGCAAACCAATGACACACTAATAGCCTGCTAACATATTGAAAATTAGAGACTAACTCTGTAGTCTACTACCTTGCTATGACAATTTAGAAATACCAAGGTACCCTAACATGTTGAACAATAAGTTCACACGACAACACTTTCATGTGAGCCTCCAATGAAACACAAGCATGTTATCAATCAAATGAAAAAACAAATCATTGAATGAGTGCATGCCTAGGTGATTTGTTTTCAATAAATTCTCATGGTCACAACACTTTCTTGCAACCATATAATAAAACACAAACATGATGACAATCAAAAGAAAAATCAAATCACCTAATAAGTGCATGCCTTTTTCCTACCCCAAATGATACAAAAAATAACCCACTAACATATGAAAAAAATAGAGACTACCTATAAGGTCTACTACCTTACTATGACAATCAAGAAATGCCAAGTTAGCCTAACATGTGTTGTGATGTGTTCACATAGTCACAATACTCCTTTATTACCTTCCAATGAAACCCTAACATGCTCTGAATCAAAAGAAAAACCAAATCACCCGGTGAGTGCATGCCGGGGTGATTTGATTTCAATGAGTTTACGTGGTCACAACACTTTCTTATGACCCTCCAATAAGGCAATACGTCATGGACATGTTAATAATCAAATTTAAAACCAAATCACCTTGTGAGTGCATACTTAGATGATTCGGTTTTGATTAGTCCACATGGTCATAACTCATTTTTGCAACCCTCCAATAAATCATAGGCATCTATTAATCAAATGAAAGACTAAATTATCCAATGAGTACATGTTTGTTGTTGCTACCCCAAGTGATACATGAACTACTCGCCATCATATGATAGAATGAAGATTACCACTAGGATCAACTACCTTATTAGAAATATCAAGAAATACAAAGGTATCCTAACACAATGTTTTTGAACCGCCATTGACCCAGACAATTAGACAGTTCATCCCAAGAACAGTCCAGACAAGGTTCAAAATTTCGATACAATACGCCCCATATCGGGCGTGGCGTATCATATCATATCGTTGGCTTAATGATACGCCGCTACAGGGGTCATATCGGGGTGTGACCTGGTTCAGGGGGTAGACCAACCTTAGACCGACCCCTCTGAACCAGTTTCAAAGAAAAAAGGGGTGGGCGAGCTTCGATACACCCCTATTGGCATATCGGCCTGTATCAAAATTTTAAACTTTGCATCTAGGCAACCGGTTCTGTTTCATCCTTAACCTGGTCCTTGGCCAAAAACTATTGACTTGGTCAGCAATTCGTTGACCCATGTGGTCAAACCTCTGACCCATTCAACCTGGACAACGGTTTGTGGTTGTTTTTATTTTAATTATTTTTATTTTTTTTTATTTTTAAGTTGGAATGGGCCATATGTTCAAACCGGGAGTCAAACCACCAACCCGTTCAACCTGGCAACTAGTGGCCAAAGTGGTTCCGATTCTAGGTCGGTTTTTAAAACCTTGGCTTAACATGTGAAGCAATGACTTCGTACAATCATAAAACTTTCTTTGTGGCCTCTAAAGAAACCCAAATATGCTATAAGTTAAAGGATAAACCAAATCGCCCAATGAGTACATACCTAGGTGATTTGGTCTTCATGAGTTCACATTGCTAATAATTTTTTGAAATCATCCAATAAAACACAAATATGTTGCTACCGATCAAATGAAAAATCAAATCCAACGAAAGCATGTCTTTTATTGCTACACCAAATGATACAAAACAATCCAATCATATAAAATAAAGACTACCTCTAGCATATACTACCAAACTGTGACAATCAAGTAATACCAAGGTAGCTTAACATGCAAAATGATGCTTAGGCGGTAAGGCACTCACAAAGGGTCGCCTCACTTACTCACCAAGATAATTTTTTTACATAATGCTCTTGGATAACTTCTATATTCTTAACTTTCTGAGATTATAATAATAAAACAAACACTATTAAACTAAATTATTCAATTTGAGTTAAAAAACACTAGTTTTTTCATTATTATTCTTACTTGTTTGGGTTTGGTCAAGATGCATATTGACTTTAATCCTCAAAGAATTCAAAATTTGAATTAATAAGTATAGAAGAACTCAAAATTTTGTCCAATCAACACTTTTTTAGAGAAAGATAAAATAAGTTGAGTTAAAACACTAGTTTTTTTTTATTATTATTTTTCTTACTTGTTTGGGTTTGGTCAAGATGCATATTGACTTGAATCCTCAAAGACTTCAAATTTTGAATTAATAAGTATAGAAGAACTCAAAATTTTGTCCAATCAACACGTTTTTTAGAGAAAGATAAAATTATGTATTGAATTTATATGATAATGGTAGAGGACAACCTCAAAAGGTGGAAAGTGGGCATCCTTTGTTTGCCTTCTGATTTATTTATTTATTTTCATACTCTTTGTGCTGTTCTCCAATGTTGAAATATCAACAGATAGAAATGATTTCATTCATCATCCTACTAAATATGAGATAAAGTATCATTTGATCCATTTGGCACAGGTATGTACCTCAAGTAATATAGAGGAACTTGGGGAAATGCCCATGAGAAAGCAAGAGTCAAGCTGTTCTGTATAAGAGGCTAGAGATTCAGCATTAAGATATAAAGAAAGGTGGTCAAAGCAAAATATGTGTGGTGACATTTGGCAAAGGTACAATACAACTGTACAAGGCAGGGTGTGATGAGAAGCTCCTAGGAGAAGTTGGTGTGTAAATTTCCCCCTTGATGTGACCTAGTAACTAGTAAAATGGCATTGTTAAGTAACTATCGAGGTGTATGAAAACCTGGATGGTGGACTGGAATTAATGATGAGTTTTCTAGCCCATCTCAAGGAAGTTCCTCTTATGAATGGGAAGCAAGATTGGAGAGTATGGAATTGGTGTCTCATTAAGATCTTGATCTTTTGATGGCATACAACACTAAGGATCTTAGCAGCTACTCCATCATGACAATTGTGTGGACATTGTGCAAGGAGGATGAGGAGAATGCAAATCATATGCCCAACAGTTCTGAGGGTTTCTTGGCTGTTCCCACAAAAGTAAACTGGTTCACTGAAAAAGTAGGAGTTTGATCATCGAAAGTTCAAAAGCTTGTATTTATTTATTTATTTTAATTGAAATTTTCTATCAGCAACTTTAATTGGTGTGTTAAGACTACACTGATGCTTCTATCAATTTTCCATTGGTTAGTGTGTAAAATAAGAGAGTCAGATAAATGGCTACAAATACCTATAATTAGAGGCCATGGATAACAAGGCCTATTGGCTGCTGATCCATTGGTATCCCTTACATCATACTTGAGTTATAGCAGTCCCTAATGGTTTCAGAGTGTGATTCAAAAACAATGTTTTATGATTTGTCATAAAAGCGTCCTTCCTACAGTCCTGCATTTTATTCAGTTTATTGACTTCAAACCTACTAGACAATTAAGCATCACATGGCCATGAAAATGTTGTTAACGTATGCATGGAAATTGGAAATACAGCAAGTTTGAATTTGACAGGAATGTATGCATTAATGTAGTTGAGAATTTAACCTTGAAAGTAATGATGGCAATTCCTCTGAACTTCCCACTCTCAGGAAACCTCATACAATCAACTTCAGTTATGGTGCCACAGCTTTCAAAGAAGCTCTTAATGTCATCCTCGGATGAGTAGTACGGGATGCCTCCTACATAAACTTTTCGAGTCATCTCACCATTTTCCTGACTGTACCGTCACAACATAACAAGGGAAAATAATGAATACCAGAACCCTGATTATTAAAAAGAAGTCCCCCCCCCCCCCCACACACACACTCAATCCAAAACTACATGACAATTAATCAACGAACAAAAAGCTTATATCACATAATAAGAAGGAAATAAGACCATAACTTAAATCCACTCCAATCCCATAATAATAGCAGGGAAAATATATATTCAGTAAACTGTGCAAAAAAGAAAATGATAGTCATGAATTTAACAGAATACTCGATTATTCCCAACCTCAAGTCAAAATAAATTTAACTAAAGAAAAATAAATGTGGGCATGGATTTTTGTTTCTTTCCCTTACCTATCATTGACCTTCACCGGTTCTGCTACGGTTTCCTCTTTCCCTTCTCCATCTCCAGATTCAGTTCTCTTCTTCTTATTCTTCTTCTTCTTTTTCTTTTTGGGCTTCTTTACGGGTTTCTTCTCTGCCGATTCGGAGACACCATTCTCTCGCTCCTGATCCCCACCCCCATCTCTTTTTCTCTTCCTTTTCTTCTTCTTGTCATTTTGAACCTCTGAAGCAATCCCATTGTTCTCTATCTGGGTATTATCACCATTACTTCCTTCAACGGGTTTTGAACCCTGTAAAGACAAAGTTTCTCTTTTCTTCTCTCTCTTTGACAATCTAGGCTTATGAGCCACCGAGCTCAAAAGCTCTCTTAACGACTGAGAATGCGATTTGGCGTCCTGTTTCTTGGATCCATTTGAAGGGGTTCCAGCTACTATTGCTGCTAAAGACTCTGCAAGTTCCGCTCTTAGCTTCTGTTTGAGCTTTTTGTTCGACAAAACCATTTTCCTGTTATTCACGAACAACAGCAATAGAAATTAGGGATTACAGACACAAAGTTCCATAAACGTTCGAGAATGCAACAAGGTCTCTTTAGCCGCGGAACAGATGATGGAAAACACGAAACAGGGGTTGTAAAATGTAGAGGAGGGTTTTTTTGCAGTTTTACACTTTTACTCTTTTTTTGGGGGTAAATTTTTTAAACTATTCCTATGATTTAGCTAATTAACTAATGAAAATTTATCGTTTTTGACAATTGATTAATTCTATCCTTATCGTTAACATGTGTTAGTATTCCGTCAATAAAACCCAATATTACCCCCTCCCTTATCTCCTTTCTCTGACCGGCAACCCCTTCTTCGTCAGACCTCCGGTCTCTTCTCTCTTACCTCTCTCTATTTCCTCTCTTACCTAGGGTCGTGTAGGTGTGTAGTTGTAATCCTCGGAGGAGCAAATTTGGATTTTGATGGCTGATGGAGAAACGAGAGAATACTGATCAAGATATATTGATGGCTGACGGAGAGACCGAATCAGATTTGCAGTGGCAACGTCTATTCCATCAGCACCAGTTATTCAAGCAACAGAAGAGATCCCGGGAAAGTGAAAGCCAAACAAACTATTTTCAATAGCTACAAATTCTGATTCACTTCCTCACAGAGCACATTAGGTTGTGCCGAGTCAAATCTGCTCTATTTTTTTTTTCCGTTGCTGAAAAGAGATCCCTTACCCCCAAGCAGACAGTCAAATCTGCTCTTCAATAGTTGCGGATTCTGCTTTTTTTCCATTCAAATGGAAGCAATTTGACTTTGTTACCAGGCATTTGAACTCAGGAGCCAGCGAATTAAAAAAGCCCTTGTCTCAGTGATTTCACAACTATATACTGGGAGCTTTGGCACCTGATTTCATGGCGTGTGGAGATAGCTACCATTGGCATTCCTCAAACGAACGAGAGGGTTTTCTACTTCTCTCAAGGTCACATGGAGCAATTGGAAGCATCAACGAACGGGAGGCTGCAAGTACTATGGATCCTCTGACTCCCAATCGGGTTGCCTTCCCGGGTCTCGCCGGTGTTGCCTGTAGGTCGTGATGTGCCTCGAGATGGCCGTCTCCTGTCCCCCTGCCGGTGGGGAATCCGCTCCCGGGTCGTCGCTCTGCTGCGTCTGGCCCGTCCTCTAGGCACAACTGACTAAAACGTGCATGCAGAAGGCCGAGCTCCTCGTAACTAAACCAGTCGGCCTTCTGCATGCACATTTCAATCAGTCCTCCGTCCATCGTCCGTTGTGACCGGGAAGAGCTGCCTCGTAACGAAACCGGCCAGTCTTCTGCACGCGTCAGTCCTTCGTCCTCACTCCGCTGTGACCGGGAAGAGCTGCTTCGTAACAAAACCATTCGGCATCGTAACGAAACTAGTCGGCCTTCTGCATGCGCATTTCAGTCAGTCCTCTATTCTCCGGCCACTGTGACCGGGAAGAGCTAGCTTAAGGGTGAAATAGTGATTTTACATTTTTCCGTCCATGTTTGCAAACCTTGATAATGTTTGGTCAATTTTGAAACGGTAAGGATACATACAAAGAGATGCCGCCAAACTATTTACTGGAGCGGAAATTAAACATAAAGTCTAAATCTATGACGCCGGAAAGTATGGTACCAAAAGAGCAAATCACACACCCCGGTGAATTTTGAATTTTTGATGAATAATATTAGACCATTGGTTCCCAACTTACCATTGTGATACTGGTTTATTGGTTATCAGTTTTCCGGTGTCATAGTCGAACCTATCGTCCATGGTTACGTGGGTGTTCACTACATTTTAGATTCAAGTGCTTCGTCACGATTGTCCAACACTCACTGTCGATTCCGGATCTAAACACATTCCTAAAACCCTACCAACATAATCACACATCCTTTTATGGTGGCTTCGAAGGAGTTTGGCTTCAGTCAGGACAAAGTCCGTTGGAGTAGCTTTTACTGTTTTGCATGGTTTTTAAAATTGAACCGGTGATCGAATCGGTTAGGGGCTCGGTTATCAGTTCCAACAGTCTGATTGTTCGATTAGAACGATCAGCCTATTTTGATAAAAAATTAAAAAAAAATAAAAATTAGAAAAAGATCAAAACAGTTCGAACGATTAGTCGGCCGGTTCAATGGTTTGCTGATCAAAATCAATGATTTTGAGAGAAAAAATGGTTCTGGAGGAAAATAGAACTGATCAGGTCCCGATTTTTCCGGTCTCATCCGGTTTCGAAAACAGTGCTGCCTTGCATTGACAATATCTCGATATTTATGCGCTTTATTTTGATGAAGAGATATTCTTAATGCAAGATTGGAAAAAGAGTGTTAGAATGGTGTAGGCACAGATTTGCCAGAAGCCGACCTCATATCTAAAATGTATGAATCATGTTGGTAGGGTATTCTAATTCAATAAGACTCTCAATGTCTTATTTAGAAGAACACTACCATGCCTACCCACAAAGTACTATCTCTGTGCATTGGGAGTAAATGAGATATTACCATATGTGGCTACCATGTTGTGTGGGTAGGTGCGAGTATAGTTGTCATACGTCAGAAATCTGATTCTCCTCACACAGGTAGGTCATAGGTGTGAGTAGAGTTGCAATTTGCAAATGAATTGACGTGCTCAGCATTTATAATAACACATTCTTAGGGCCTACACAACGAGATCGGCTTCCATCAGGGCAAGCCCGTGCTCACACTTTTTTCAACCGCCTTTTTGCAATCTTGCATTAAGAATATCTCCCTGCTTATTTGCTTTATTTGCAAAAGGCGGTTGGAAACACTATAGGCACGGGCTTGCCCTGATGGAAGCCGATCTCGTTGTGTAGCCCCTAAAAATGTGTTGTTATAGATTCTGAGCACGTCAGTCCATTTGCAAATTGCAAGGTGTTCCACATAAAGTTTTATTCAATCATGTATGTGGAGAATCCAGATTTCTTACCTATGACAACTCGGGTTAACTTTGGCTGAGCCCAACAGCCTATAGTTTTTGGGTAGTTCACCTATTCACGCCCATGTTTTGGTATTTAGTCAAAATAAATTGAGATATAATTATTAATTTATCTATTCTCATGTTAACGTGTCATTTATAAAAACTGTCTCAATAACCTATGTTGTTGGCTTCATGACAACTCTACCCACACATAAGCAGGGAGATATTCTCAATGCAAGGCTGTAAAAAACATGGTTTTTAAAAATGACCCGGAGACGGAATTGATCAGGGGTCCGGTTACCAGGTCAAATGGTCAAACTGTTCTGACAAAAAAAAACAATCAAAACCGTCCGAACGATTAACCACCCGAGTCAACGGTTTACTGACAAAAATCAACAGTTTTGGGGAAAACCAAAACCAGTTACCTGACCATTTCCTGGTTTTTCGGTCCCGTCTGATTTTGAAAACCATAGTAAAAAAAGGCTGCTAGAACGGGCTTTACGCAAATTCCTACTCAACGGGAATAGCGTCATATGTATAAAACAGGTAGGACTGCCCACCAATCGAACGGTTTGCATGTTTACAGTACTGTGCCGTATCAAGTATAACCCACACCTCAAGCTCGGCTGGGCTTAGGGGTTAAGGCCCATGGGCCGATACAACCTCGGTTTACATCTTTTACATAGAATTCAGGAAGGGTTTCGATTGGTCAAAGCCTTTTTGGTATTATGGCTTTCCCCGTATCATAAATTTTACTCTCTCTCAGGTTCCTGTAATATACAAAAGATGTTGGGATTCCACTGCATCGCACCACATAACAAACAAACAAAACAAATTGTGCTGATCCATGGCTGACACAGTCCGGACTCATGCCATCTAGGGTGTTTCAACAAAAACCGAAAAATCGAACCAAGCAAGAAAACCAAACTGATCAAATCGATTGGTTTGATGTTTTTCAAACACTGGGGAGCAGTGTGAAATAAGCTAGCATGGACAACTAACTTTTAAGTACAACGTTCAGATGGTATTTAGGAGACCGGATTTACTCCTCACATTTGGTGTCTCACACCGACCCTACAGGCACATCTCACCATGCATTGGGAACCTCTTCTGTACCCATGTTAAAAAAAATGTGAATTGAAATTGAACTAAAACTGACCGGTTAACCAGTTGATTGATTTGGTTCTTTAGTTTTTCGTTTTTATATTTACAATATATATTATAAATAATATATATATATATATATATATATATTTTCCCTTTTTTTTAGGGTATACAGAAAATACAGCCGATGGGAAAGAGACCTACACATAGTGTCAATAAGAACCAAGGAGAGGTCCCATGGGGAAGTATTGGAAAAGTCTCCTCGCTAGATTGACCTTTGTTAGCTAGCCAGACCACTGCAGTATTCCTTCACGATGAGTGTGGTTGTAGACAATCCAAGAAGAAAGGCTTCACACAATAATCTTGTTAATTTGTGGGCTTCAAGGGCATATTCCTTCACGATGAGTGTGGTTGTAGACAATCCAAGAAGAGAGGCTTCACACAATAATTGTTAATTTGTGGGCTTCAAGGGCAGCCCACACCCTTGCGGCTGAGATGGTAGTGATTCCCACAGCTCCCATTTTTGCTTTCAAGAAAAAAAAGGAAAAAAAAAAAAAAAACTGACCAGTTCACTTGCAGCACAAAAAACCCTATTTTCAATTTGTCTGTCTGTGATTCAAAAGGCTCCACGGCAAAGCCCATGATGCAAGAATTGCCTTTAAGATGGGCAGTGGGGTTCATAAATTTCTTTAGTTTCCATGAGACCATGACATGTTTGTTGGAACTGTGATTTCAAAGTTGGTTGCACATTGCAGATTTATTATCAAAATTATTAAAAGATAAATATCATACATATGTAATCCCAACAGTACCATCCCTCTCTGCTCTTAATGAGCAAGTTCATCAAGAGTGTTAAATCTGCAAGGGTGTTGTCAAAGTCTCATGATACTTCATCGCAGCTTTCATCTCTGCCTTTTCTGCTTGTCAGTTAACAGCTGCAAAAGGAGTTCTGTTAAATACTGTATTGCATACGACCATTTCCTACTCATCAGTTGATGAGTTGGTCAGAATTGTTTCATTCTCATCATGGCCTCAAGGGTGTTGTCAAAGTCTCATGATACTTCATCGCAGCTTTCATCTCTGCCTTTTCTGCTTGTCAGTTAACAGCTGCAAAAGGAGTTCTATTAGGTGAGTCCATGTAAGAGTGTTGGTGCCGCTGCTGGATCTTTCCTTCAGAGCTCAACTCTTTTGATTTATCCATTAATCTCATTTTTGCAATCAGGTCTTGGAAAGCGGGTGTCCTCAACTCTTCAATAGACGCCAAAGTAGGAAGCGCTAATGCTCGCCTCTTTGGTGTACTAGATGGATGATCAACCTGTATTTAAAACATGTAGTACATTAATTGTAGTTATTCCAATAAATGACAGTTGATGGATTTCTCATTTGTAGATGTTGACTTGTTAAATTTGTCATCAATTTCATAGTTGCAAAACTCAGTCATTTTTATAGTTACCAATACTTGTTTCTTACAAGCCTTGCCATTGTGTGCTTAAATGAATTCGAGACAAAGCCAATCATCGATAGGGAGGCTTATACTTATATTGGATATTTTTTTTTCCTATTTTTCCCATTATTCTAAAAGAGAGAAGACCAACATTACCTAGTAAATTTCTATTTTTATTGATGGAACACATTTACTGTTCAAATGAGTGAGACCATGTAGCTGAAGCACATTTGACAGTCTCAACCACTAAGAATGTTTTCCAAATTTCTGGAAAGAATTTAAAAGTCAACGAGGATAAAATTAACATACCGAGTATTCTTTCCTCAGGCATTTTTCTGCTTGGTTTCTGATGTCTGATATGCTTTCAGCATGGTTTATTTGAATTGATTTAATCTGATCCAAGATTAAATGAATTCGAGACAGCCAATCATCGATAAGGAGGCTTATACTTATATTGGATATTTTTTTTCCTATTTTTCCCATTATTCTATTATTGATGGAACACATTTACTGTTCAAAGGAGTGAGACCATGTAGCTGAAGCACATTTGACAGTCTCAACCACTAAGAATGTTTTCCAAATTCCTGAAAAGAATTTAAAAGTCAATGAGGATAAAATTAACATACCGAGTATTCTTTCCTCAGGCATTTTTCTGCCTGGTTTCTGATGTCTAATATGCTTTCAGCATGGTTTATTTGAATTGATTTAATCTGATCCAAGCATAAGGTTGATATAAACTCCATCTCCTTTTTAGTTTCATGGTCCAGCACCAGGGAATCTGCAATAAATGTCTTTTAAATTGATCATGGCTGTGCCAAATTGGTTGATTTTGATAACCTAAATAAATATCGAAGGATACTAAAATAGAATTACCATTAACAGATTCCAGCATATCACAAGCACTAGAATTAAATTTTACATCAGTAGAGGAGGATATGGAGATAAAGTCTTCAAGCACAGTGTGGTTTCCACAAATCTTTTCCCTGTTAAAATGAAGCATTTATTTTTCCATTAAAAGTGAAACAAGAAGAGAAAAACAAAAGAATGGAAAAAGTTTAAGCAGCCAAGATGTCAAAATAACTTACTTTATGATAGATGCCATCTCTTCAACACTTATTTGATTAAGTTGGTTGATGGATAACTGAGCATTTCCCCACTGTTGTCTAGAATACCCCACCCTCTTTAAGCTGCAGCACCCAAGAAAGTTTTGATTGTTTAATCAACTTTAACTTAACAATCATGCACGATTCATCGGAAAAATAAGACAAATATACAGGTCATTCATATAAATTATTTGCAACAGAAATTAATCAATCATCATGATACGTTCTTTCATGTTTACTTCCAGTGTATTTCCATAAAATTAACAAAACATTATGCATTTCTAGTTACTCAAACAAGTATTAACACATTTGCTTATATGGATTGACTGCACCTTGGGAAGTTGGGATACTACATCACACCCATATGACATTTTTTATCAGCAAGGCTGATGCATGTGCCATTTTTTATCAGCAAAATCCCAAGGTATAAAGTACAAGTATGAAATGGTATAGTAAATAAAATGTGTTGAATAGAGAAGTTAGTCATAAACCTAACATGACAATTATAGGAAATTTGATGTGGGAATAACAACTTACACGACCTATACATGTGCAAGTTTTGCACATGTATCCAAACCCATAATACAGCCCTAGCCAACCAAACTCATGCACCTTTATCAGCAATCCCAAGGTATATAAAGTACAAGTATTAAATGTTATAGTAAATAAAATATGCCAAGTAGAGAAACTGGCCATAAACCTTTGATTTTTTATCCACGCATATGATGTGTTTCATTCATAGTGTGTAAACAGAGAAAAAAAGTTTACCATTCTTGGATCATGTGATCCATTCTGGCCCTGGTCTCAGCTGCTGAGAATGTGTCTTCCAGAAAATGCTCTTGTACCTTTTCTACATATTCATTCCACTCCTTCTTAGCATCAGTTGAAAATTTCTGCATGTTGAAAATCTCTTCATGCAATCTTTTCTTCTCTTCAATACCTGTATCACTCATGTTTCTCAAAGCCTCTGAAACCTGTTCACAGTAAATAAATGAGTATGTCCTAATGCTGTTTGTGGCCAACAAACATAGAAATATGATAATGATAAATCATTGAAAAGTTGACTAACCATAGCTGTTTTCTTAGCTGTTAAATTTGCTAATGTTACTGCAATGTTTTGAAGTGCCAGTTTCTCCTCCCTAGCACACTCTTCCTGCGTGTGTGGGCACCAAACGTACACAAATCAAAATCAATCAGCTCTTATGGTCTTTTTGAATTATGTCCTTTGCATGAATTAAGTTAAAATTACCTTAAAAATCCTCTCAAAAGATGTGAGCTGTTGAGATCTTTCTGTTTGGCATGCTTCAATAACTGCAATAAGTTTACAAGCATGTTGATGAAAGTTATTGAAAAAACCAATTGTTGCCTCTGAAATTACTCGTGTTGAAGCCAAACTCCTTTGCAGTCCCTACAGTTTCCCCAAAAGTAGTAATATTAATTGAAGATACTATAATTTATTTGGACGTAGTACATAACAAAGATACTATGAAATATGGGACAATAAAAAGATGAAAGAAAAGCCAATGAGATAAAGTCAACTATGAAACTCTGGACATCACAATAACTAACAAATTAGACCTACCTCCTCTTGTTTTTTAGCAGAGAAAGCCAATAATTGTTTTTGTTCGTCAAGGGAACTCTGGATATCACAAATAACCTCCTCAGACTCCAACACCGCATTGACCAAAAACTGCAGACAAAACGAGTATTATATCTCAGTCAATGAAGAACTGTTTATTGACAATTATGCCTAAATATGGTAATTTTGTTTCCTTCCAACTTCATACATTTTCAACATTAATTGCTTGTGTAGAAATTGTTGTTTTTATTTGTTCCAGGTCAGCAGAAGCTTTCTTCTGCAATGAAGCCACAAGCTCCTTCATTTCCCTCAGTCCTGAAATAAGTATGTCTTTTGTCTTATTAATCCGTGATTCCAAGACCTTGGATGCCTGTAAGTATCACAGAAAGTTAAATTAATTAAACATAAAGCCGGTCAAGATGGCATTAGTAATGATGACATGATTTCTTCTCTTACATCACATTTACTTGCAATGAATGAGCTGATATGTTCTTCCATGCATCTTAGCTGTTGATGCTGCTGAGAAACTGACCCTAGGACTGTCTTGTGCAAACTTTTCAAGTTCTGATCAAGACAAGCCCCAAATGTCAGAAGCAATTCCTGGTTTTCTTTTTCCATCCTATTCTTCTGATCTGCAAAAAGAATATGGTAACTCTTTATCGGCAACTATGTTGTACATAACCGTGTAGATAAGAGAGTATCCAGACCTATTTTGGCAAACAGTGCAGTTATGTCCTCTGATGCACTTTGAAAATTGGCACGTAAATCCTTTGCCCATTCTATTATGGAGTTCTCTGTTGTGCATATGAACAAGATTTGGAGTGTTACAATATGATGGTTTGTGGATGTATGCAAAAGAAGATCTAGTTCATGATATGTTGACTAACCTGATTGCAATAGACTTGAGACGATGAACTCCTTCTCCTTCAGTATTGACATGGCTATACTGTGGTTCTCTTCAAGGTCTTGCAAGGCCTTTTTATTATTCTCCAGATCTTTCTGAAGTACAAGGATTTTTAGTTGAGATCAGATGTCTGTTTGAAGAAAAAAAGAAGCAATCTATAGTCAGTTTTATAATTACCCTGCATTCCTTGAGCTCACTTTCCAAATCCAGTTTTTGTTCTTGCTCAGAAAGGTAGAGCTCTCGAAATGTGTCAACTTCCTGTAACTAGTACAAATTAGTTTCATGGATGGATACATTATATAACAATAAAGGGATATTAGAGAGAAAATTATACCTTTCCCTTGAGGTCTAGATCAATTTCCAATTGTTCTATCTTTTCATTCATTGCCTGTGCAATAAAGTAGATATTTCTACCATTTAATATGAAAAGTTATTAAGCTTGAATGAACATTGGATAAATCTATATTCTGAGAGTTGTAGGTGATATGATATGTACAGGGGCTATAGATTATCAATCAACTGGCTAAATCAAATTTCGATACATGTGCAGGGGCAATGAATTTTCAATTTGCTGGAATCAAGAGAGTAGATTGGATGATCATATTTCATAATCATCCAAATTGAGTATTTTACCTTTCCATCTTTCTTTTTGAGAGGGTAAAGGCAGGAGGTGACATGGAGTAAATTGGAGATCTATGACGACATAGTTATAGAATGTTTTTTGACTTTGACATCGTATATCTCCTTAACTTGGATATACAAATGATAGTTCACCCCTACCCCTTTATGTGCTTTAGATGTGATATTTTTTATTGGTCTTTAGATGTGATATTTGAAATATAAGAAGTAAATGCCAACTATATATAATACTCAGAATATAGTTTTATCACAAAAAAGTACTGACAATGTGAATCATAGTAGAGAAACTGAACTTCTTCTGGCTAAGACAAACCTTCTTATTAGCTTCATCCTGGGAAAACCTTTCATGAGGAATATAAACACCATTCTTTTCCCTTGCTGCTCGTACATCTGTATCAAGTTTGTTGGACATGAGATTTATGAGTTTGGGGTTAACCATTACCAGTTGGAAAATGTGGACATTAATGTAAGATATTCAACAAACCTTGTTTAATTCTCTCAATTTCCAAGTACAAATCCTTGAGAAGCACAGCCTTTGACATTTTTTTATTTGCCTGACAAGACAAACCATATATTTGTCAGAAGGAAGGAAGAAAAAAAACCCTAATGATTTATGGAGGAGAAAAATGCATAACCTCTGGTTTGTTTTTTATGCTTTTAGCACGGTAGGCATAATCTAGTGTACTTAAAGTTTCTTCTAAACAATGGGCTGATGGAGAAATTGTTGCTATGATACAAGTCTTTGTTTTCCCACCCAAAGAGTCTCTTAACAACCTTGTCAGTTTGCTATCCCTGCATAAATTTGGCAGTAAAGAAGGCAATTCAAGAGGTAGCCGTGAATTATTATAATAGGCCAAACGTTCTGTTGGTTCAAACCTGTATGGTACATGAGCAGAATGTTCTACCAATGCATTTATAACACGGCCAAGGGTGAGTAAACTCTTGTTGATTTCCCCTGCTTCCCTTGCTCTAACCTGGAAAATCTGTTGTCAATCTGAATCTTCTGGGAAATAAAAATGAGCTTGCACTCTTCTTTTAGACATTTTATAGAATTAATCTATTTAATTTAAAATGGACACAGCAGCTTAAGATATTCATTTAGTCTTACTATGTAGATAATGCTAAAAAATTTTCAAACATTTCATGTCTAAGTTGTTGAATTGCTTTAAATGGAAGGCTGATGGAGTGTTCTGTAAACTGGTACGCAAGGTGGATGATCTCTGTTTACCAGGTTGAGCTAAATCTTTATATGACTGATGTATGTTATAGTTTACAATATCAAGAAACAGAGTTGTTCATCTCCATTGTCCTTAAATGAAGTTACCAATAATGAAGATCTTCCTCTGATATGCAAAAAGTTCCAATAATTTTCACAAGATTTTAGAAAACAAGAGGAAAGGTAAAAAAATTCAAATGAGATTCTTAAGATGGATCATGATTAGTATGTTATCAATCAAAAAAACATATATAATTATCTTATTCATTTTCTTCTCGTGATTTCAAGGTGCCTAAGATAGGCTCTTTCTTTTCATCATGTTCTTGGAGATAGAGATCTGAAATCATAATTATTATTTGAGCATGGTCATTTTTGTTACCTACTATGCAGCTTAAGTTGTTGCATTTGCTTCCAGATAAGGAGACAATAACCAAAAAATAATAGATTTATTTGCTAGACAGTATAATAATAGAAGCATACCTCCCGTGCACCTGACCTAGAAATATTCTCTGAGCCTGCTAGGTCAACGAGATTAAGTTTGCCACATTTTATTAGCTCCTCATCCCCTACAGTTGCTTCTTTCACATGGATTGTTATCGAAAATACAGAATGTGAGCGGCTGCATAATACCAAATTTTATTAGTGGCTTGATGCCTTTGAGATGAACCTATCATTACAGTAGGATAATGGTCACCTGCTATGCTTGTTTAACAAGGTATCTGCACTGCGCCTTCTGGCTGATCCTTGTTCCAGTAGGTTATAAATTTCACTTGCACTATACACAATCTCTTCTTCAAGGCCTCTTACAAATACAGCACCCTTTCCATCCTCCATCAAAGAAATTGGTTTCTTCTGTTTATCTTCAACAGATTTATTATGCTCTTCATGAGCCAACAGATCAGTAATTTCTTCATTATACAGTTCCAAAAAGGTCACTTTCATACTGTAATCTGCCTTTTGTGCCTCCAGTGTATCAAATATTTGGCGTACAGCTCTTGGAATTACACCAGCATCAGCAGACAAATCTCCACCCTTTGATAAATGAGAAATATTTGTTAAACAACCAACTGATAAATGTAGAACTGTAGATGTTATTATTACTATGAAATAAGTAGGGAAAATAATCATTCTATACCTTGCTTTTTGTCTCTCCTTCCATTGTATATGTTTTACCTGTGCCTGTCTGCCCATAAGCAAAGATGGTACAGTTAAAACCCTCAAGAACTTCATTGACAATTGGGGAAATGGCATGATCATATATCGATCTTTGCTGTGCTTTGGGCCCAAAGACCTTCCAAGTATTGTCAAAATATGAAATTCCATGTCATTATATAGTCAACAAACCAATGATGAGATGGCTAAAAGACAAGGACATAACATACCTTATCAAATGCGAAAGATCTATCTATTTGCTTGTTTGCTATACTCTGCAAAACAGTGACTTCTCTTCTCTGTTCATTACATGAGATCAATTTTGGTGTGTTCAATCTTAACTCTTCATCAATTAGTGGCCTGGTATTTAAATGAAATGAAGAAACTCTAACCAGTAAGCACCACAAATAATACAGGAAAAAAAATTCATGATTCTATAGTTATAACAAATAAATATGGGAACACTATTGTGTCCAGAACTCTGAAAAAAGCAGTGATATTGCATACGGCACACCACATATAAATGTACATATCCAACACATTTTACAATGCTTTGTTATGCTTGTTATTGCTTGAACCACCTTTCTTTTTTATTTGGTTATATTTGTTGGTATGTGCAAAAACATTGTCGAGACAATAACTTTTCAGTAGTTAAGCCCACTGTTTCAGGTTTCCTTCTCAAGAGTGAAGACTTCTTTGTGATTTCTACCTTTTGAAACATTGTTCAACCTGTCATCATCATCATCTAAGCCTTATCCCAACTATATGGGGTTGGTTACATGAGTCCTATTTTGGCATTCCATACTGTTTCACCTTTTACCAATGGACATGCATAATTTAATTAAACATGGTCCCATTTCCCAATTTCTTGTATTATTATGAATAATGAATATATAAAAATAGAGTAGCATAAATAAATAACATATTCATATAACTAGCAAAAACAGACTATATGACTCCTGAATTTATAACAGTGAGTACAGTACATTGGCCTTATGTTATTAGTTCTTATTCTTTGCTCTCTCTCTCTCTCTCTCTCTCTCTCTCATGGGAAATAACATTGGGGACCCTCCACAACTTGCCTAGAAGGGTTCTAGTTCCTTCTCGCTTGACTTGTCCAGCTAAGTCTACTGCATGCCATCAGTGAAAAAATAAAGACTCGAGATCCAATTCTTTGCATCCATTTCATTTTTCTATTTTATACATCCACTTTGGTGAGCATTTTCCTTTGGTGCTAGAGGGAATTTAAATTCTACACTATGCCTGAGGCTGGGTATTCACTCTTTAGAGCTATTTCTTTTTCCCTTATGATACGTACTTGGATGGTTGAAAACCAAAATCTCAAATTCCGACATCGAGTGGCACGGTTATGGGAGTGGAGTGGTTAACAACGCTGTAGATTCTACATATTGCCATTATTTGGTGAAGCACGTGTCTTGGGATACATGCTTTCAATGATTCAATCAACAGATTTTCTAGGGTAATTACAGCAGCCATATAACAATATTTTATATTTTTATTCAATAACGAGGTAGATGGCACCACCGAATGGCTCTTTACAACCATTCTACATCATAGTGGTTCTTCTTGTTTATTCTAAATTTGGTATCATTAGATTTATCCGCTTCCAAATATTCTGTCATCCAGAACAAAGTCTCTATAACTAATCTCACATCGTTGAAATTCATGGGAGCTAAATAATCTAAACCAGAAAGGACCAAAGGAAGAAAAGGAACATATTAAGAGCCGAAACAGACCTGCATCTTAGTATCACTTGCACGTTAACCTCACGATCTTTGTCCTGACGACTGGAATTACATTCCAAGCCTCTCGGATCAATCCGCCGCCTCTCAGGTCGAGGCGTAAGAAAGGGAGAAGGAGATGGTGTTATCCCCAGCCCTATTTTCCTTGGCTGATCCGGAGTGAAAGACATTGATGGCTATGATACCTGAATTAGAAGTTACAGACACAAGACAAATCAACCATCGAATCCACGTAAAAGTCCCCGAGAAAATAAAAGAGTCCCAATCAGGTCTCAATCAGCTTAAACATAAAAGTGAGAACAGAAAAAGAAAACTCAAATACTGAAACAATTCAAATGCTGAACCTGAGGATGGAAAATACGACTAAGATCAAACACGATGCACTTGCCCTGAGTTTCTCGATCGGAATCCTAGATTGTCTGATGTGAAGAATCTAGGGATCGACCTGTTGAGTAGCGCCTTTTCACCTCCTCTCCTCTTTTGCCGCCTTGGTGTATGCAATATTTCAAACGAGGAGCTGAGCTGTTATGTTCGTAGTCTCCAAATTTCTAACGGCTACCGACTGGAAGGAAGACGGAGACATCAAATAGCCGTTGGCTGCAGAAAATTCCCTCTTCCTCTGCATTTGAAAATCGGGGGGCCCCAACATAACATTTATAGACACTTTTATGTCAGCGAACCAAACGGACCCTTAGATCTTTACTTTTTTTAGTTCAAATCTGCGCCCCACGACGTCTTACAGCACATCTCCGCCGTATATTGCTAACATCTCTCGATGATAGTTGCGCCCCACGACGTCTTACAGCACATCTTTTTTTTTTTATTTTTTTTGGCAATGAAATGGAGCATTTAAAGTTTAAACCGACTACCGAATACTGACCGGAACCGTGGAACATCAAAGACACGAAGTCCTTGGTTCAGACTAGACTTCAATGTCTTAATCACAAGGCAATAACCCGATTGAAATGGAGGCTAGTAGGTACCACGTGCAGGACCGAAGGCTGTGGCAACTCCATCTATGATCTAACAACGAAGGTTTTCACTTTTCAGCTCAAAGGGCCCACACGTGAAAACAAACCATAACAGAGTCTGCTTCACACACAGCGCGCCTCACACCGATCTCATAGCATGTACTAGCCGTATGTACATCGGGAACATCTCCCTACCTGTGTATTTATTATTCTTGGGAGATGTTCTCAATTTAGGGTGAGATGTGGGTGTTAGGCGGGTGTGAGGCGTGCTCTGTGAGGAGCAGATCCCAATTCATGGAATCACGATAACAATGTCACAGGTGGGCTGGGCTGCATGTTTGGAGATTGGGCTGGTAGCACTTGTTGTATTCAACAAGTTAACTCTGATGTCGGGAAGGCATAGTATCCGAAGAGTTTTGACCAAACAAAATCCACCAGTGAATTTTGATAAATTCCACTGGATTGGTTAACATGTTTTATGGTACTGGTTGATTGGTTATGAAATTTTTTAGATACCATGTTTCTTCAATAATGTAAAAAAAAAAAAATGCTAGCAGAGCTTTGACCAATCAAACGAAATTTGATAAATATCATTTAATTGGTTAACACGTTTATGATACAGATTGATATGTCTTCTGGTATTATAGTCCAAACCCTTAAAAGTGTGAATGAGAGTATAGGACTTTTTTTTTTAATTAAAATATCCTAATTTTTGAAATTGGTTCCTCTCTAATTGTAATGACATAAATGTAATTTAAAGAATCATTTTTTTCATCATTCAAATCCTTCACATTAAGAATCATATTTAAGATATTAATTTCCATTAATATTCATTGAATCTTAATATTTACTAGAATACCCCTATTTGAATTTGAATTTGGTCCCTCTCTAATTTAAGGGCACAAAATATATTTGAAGTACTACATTTATCCTCATTCAAATATTTCCATTAAGTCTTATATTTAAGATATTGAATCCCATTATTTCATTGAATCATATATTAATTAACCATATTGAAGAAAAATAAGTGTGACAATAAAATTTTGTTTTTATTGATGATATAAATAAAATACAAATTTAAAATCAACTAAAAAAAATTGAGTTGTTTTCCTTTGGTGACAAGTCAAGAATTCAACTTTTTGGGTCAAAATGTGTCAACCCTTTGATGTTATAGTTAAGTATAATAAAAATTAAAATGGATGAAAACACACAAAAAATATATTTTTATAAATATAGAAATATAAAAGAAATTATAAAACAATTTGAAAACATATTATTTACCACCATTATTATCATAAAAAATTGCCACATACAAAATAAGTACGCACTTACTAGTAGCAAAAAGGATTGAGTGGACGATGGCCTCTTATTAGTTATTATTTTATGCTCAGTTCCAGTCCTGGGATCTGGGTTGGATTGGTCATGGGCTCTAAATACTTTGTAATATGTGACAAGTTATAGCTTGGCACATGATGACCCTTATGCTGTTTTTTATTATTATTTTTTTTTTCACAAGGCGGGGCAAGCACAACTCCAACAATTAAAAAAAAAAAAAAAAGAGAAAGCTCTTTAGGCAGATCCAAAGAAGGAGAACCCGAACCATCTCCTCTAGAACATAGGTGGGATAAGCAATTGGCAACTTGGAGGCTGTATTTGGTTTGGCATAAAAGGTAGGGAAAAAGAAAGGTAGAAAAACCTTCATAAATCTTGTATAGGCTTCCCCATCTTTTTTATTCCTTTTCCTTATATTTTCTTTCAAACTAGAGACAACCTTATGTTATAATAGCTGAGAGGACTTTAATATAATTGTGGGGTTTCAACTTTTAAGTTCTGATAAAATGTTTAATAGACTAATCCATCTATATCAATACTATTAAATGGATTCGGAATCTTACTCGTCTTCAGATTGATCGGCCTAACCTGTCAATTCAAGAACATCAAAGTTTTAAAAAAATCAGAAATGCATTTTTTTTGAGTGGTGGGTCAGCAGTTCAACTATTAAATAAGTCAATTTTTAATGTCATAAATTAAATAAAATAAAAATACATAATTAAAAAATTAATATTATATATTCATTATATTAAATAAAAATATATACAGTAAATAAAAATTATTATTATTGTTGTTGTTGAGAAAGGCTAAAAACGTATAAAAAATACATAGAAAAAAGTGATAACATGTGACTTGACCGATTCTGAAGGGGTAAAAAGTTCAACCTGTAAAGTTGTTAGGTTGTTGATAAAATTAATGTTTTTTTAGCAAAAAATGCTTCGGAGTAGGGGTGAGCAAATGAGTAGGTTATACCTGGAACCGAATAAAATCGACCTTGAACCGACCTTACCCAACCTGTTACAAGGTAGGGTCTGGTTCTTGGAACTGACCCCCATCGAGACCGGTTCCAGGGTCTAGGGGTTTACCCTTCCCGAACCGACCCGATGAACTGGCCTTGGTGGAATTGGCCTTGTTGGAACCTGCCTTAGAACTGAACTTGCATTGAGATAAACCCCATAATACTTTTGGGGATGTGAATATTTGAACCCAAGCATTCATTTTAGTATTTGAATTTATACAAGAAGTGATGTAAAAGATAATGTTTACAAAACTTTAATTTATAAACTTTTAACCATATAATGATAATCTACATATTAAGTTATCCAATTTAGTTATAAGAGGTAATATAAGTTTTAAACTATATGTTATATTTAAAAAAATCAAGTTTTTAAAGAACATTTTTTTATGAAAGGGGAGAGTAAAGAAAGTACAAGTTCCATGGGTAGACCCTGGAACCGACCTTCAAATGGTAGGTTCCGGTTCCAAGAACCTAAAACCGACCCCCGTAGGGGTTGGTTCCAGGTTCTACCATGCAACCGAACTGAATTGCCCCATGCTCACCCCTATTTTGGAATAAAATAAACCCAAAAACCTGCCTATAGGTCAATTAGTCTAGCTATTCAACCATGAATTATATAGAGTATAGACTATAGCCACAAATATTTGAAGTTGGGTTTTTAAGTTGAAATGCAATAAGTTTACCGCTACACTATCATTCGATGTGCTTTGATTATTATTAGGGTTTGATTGTGATACTGAAAAACTTACAACCAATGAATTGATATAATAAAAGAAGTGACCAATCCAATGATATTCATCAAAATTCACGGGAGTACTTTAATTGGTCAAAGCTCTTCTGGTATCATGTCTTTTTGGTATTATTATTATTATTATTATTGTTATACTGTGCATACATTTACGATCAATGTTAAGATATCACTGTTTTATTTATTCTTTTTGCTTGATTTACTAAACAATGACCCCCACACTAAGTATGTGGCTAGTACTTTGATATTTTCTGATAAATTTTGTTTGACACCATTTTAATGTTATAAATTTAGGTTATTATTTTATTTGATATTTTTATATAAATTTGTTATTTAATTTGAGTGATTAAATAGTTTTATTTCTAAATAATAACCTACTTTATGGATCTTACATTATTTGAAATGAGTGTTTTTCCTTAACTACCACAATCTTTTTGTGACTGGAGATAATTACTATTTTAAGCTCATAACTTTTTTGTTGTGGTCCAAGTAAAATTCAAACATAAGTTTTATTAATGTTTAATTTTATCAACTTTACAATAGGATTTAAATTAACGAAAACAAATTTTAAAACTAAAAAAATGCATTATTTTATAATTAATTTTACTTAATTTTTATATTTTACTATTGTTAGATAATTTTGTATTAATTTTTACATGAATTTTGAAGGAAAATTTATTTATAATATAGTCTATTCTATTTATTAATTTTATAAGGATAAACAAAGTTGATTAATTTTATTTATTTATATGATGGATTTAAAATTACAATTTTATCAATACTACTACTACTAATAATTATTTTATATTATATTTAAGCAATATTTATTTTGGTTTATTATATTTTTAATTAACTTTTCATATTTTTCAATGGATACACGTACACCCTTTCTCTACCGGGTTACAAACAATTGGCTTTGAAACTTTGTTGACCTCTTAGGCCCACCAACTTAGACAACTCAAACTCTGAAAGGAAGATAGGAGACTAGTTTACCTACGGAACTCATGGAATAGTGTGTTTCATGAGCATCAGAGATAAGAGCAAGATAACCAAAAGCTCAATCTTGCATGAATGACTAAACATATCAGTGGCATATTTCACATTATTTTCATCTAAACATTACAAAAATCAGATTGAGAAAAAACAAATCATCTCAATAGATTAGTTTCGGTGGAGAGACATCAATTCAGAGTTCCAATTTGACCCCTTGCCTTTCTTAGCTTCGACACTATCCATAGAGCCACTTGGAATTTCTCCATACCAACGGCTTAAATATGCTTGTGCAAATGTTTCATCTTGCTTTTGATAAAGCTGCAGAATTTGTTTTTAATCTATTTCCTCAAATCAGTTCTAACCAATAAAAAGAAAAGCCAAAGCGTACCATAACTAAAACGGTGCGCCATAAACACACAGGTAAAAGCTGAAAACATAAATACAATATAATACATGGACTTAAAAAATGGAATATGGAAAGTCCTTCCCTCTTACCACAAAAAACCTTTCTACATAGAAAAGATAAAGGACTCGTAAGGCTCAGTTTG